TTCAACGTCTTTTGGTATTTCTTGAGTTATTGTTTGTAAACCGAGTGTGTTGTTTTTGTGTCACGAACGTTGACTTCAGTTAGGTGTCTCGTGTTGACAAAACAATATTTACGGTGGTGACCACTATTTGTGAAGCGCGCCCTCTTTTGAAAGAAAATTAAAGCTGACTAAATGAGGCAGTTTTTCTCCGTTTTAACACAACGCATTTTTTTGCTATATTCTTTTTATTACTAGACAATTCCTCTCCATTTTTCACAGATTTTTGTAATCTACAACATTTAATCTATTTACGAATTGTCAATTCCATGCAACATGTATTTCTTAAGCTATCTTCCGGAAACCGAGCGTGTTGTATTTTTGTCATCAAAAATAAGTTCACTCAAAACCGCCAGTTATTTTTTGCGCTGAACACACTACATGTTCGGGATATATTAATTATATTTTCTAACAGTTCCTCTCCAAATTCAAAAGTGTTGTGTTATCTATGACGACCAATCAGGAGATATGATTTCACTCCAATACAAGAAGATTATTTTCTCCAAATAACAGGCAAGTGTTGCAAGTCATACTTTACATCTAGTCAAAATTTCAATCCCATAAAATAACTAGTTTTAGAGCAATCGTGTGGCGTAGGTGTCACACGATTTTCTGGAGGCCGTGACTTCACTTTGGATGGGCTTTGTCCGTGTTACTGAAATTATATTGCCGCCGATAATCTGTGTGTTTTCTCTCAATATTTATCATGCTTGTGTTGACTGTCATGCTCAACCTCTATAGGAAAAATTCCAATGCAATATAACAAATATTTTTGAGTTATCGTGTGACATTATGTGTGATTGTGTTTCTGTTTAATAATATGGTTGATATTCTGGACAGTGACTTCAATTGGGAATGTTGTTTAATTGTCGGTGTTATACAAAAAACCGATAATCTCTATTTTGTCTGTCAGTATTTAACAGGCTTGCGGTGCCAGTCATGCTTAACGTACAACTATATAGTATTGAGTAAAAAGTGATTTGTACAAAATTCATAGATTGAACTAGAAAGAAAATGAGATCGAAACATTTTAGTGTTTTAAACGTGAAAAATATTATCCAAATGAAGCAACGTTCATGGCAAAAAAAGTCACAACTCCATTTCGAGAAGAAAAGAAATTTCCAAGAGGTTTCTTTGTTTCCTCTTTTTCAAGGGCATTTTACCCAAACTCTTTTCAACTACTCTTTGCTTTCTGATTGTCTTGCACAGAGACAGCTGTACCCAGCGGTTTAATCTTTCAATAGAGGGCGCACCACATGCACAGTGGTCGCAACTGCTAACACGCAGAGTCAACACGAACTGGTATTGAATAAAAAGAAGACACTCATGGTTCGGACAATATCTCATGTAATACTGAACGTATTAACTCAGTATTTCGTTGAGTAATTGTTCATAATGGGTTACGATAGCCAGTACAATTTCAAGTGAATTTGTCAAAGAACAAAAATAATGTGAGCGAAACAACTTAGTGTGTTCAACCTGAAAAATACATTCGAATGAACATCATCGTAAATGACAGAAAATACTATATGGTTCGGTGGATAAGTCACAATTTACAAATTGTATTTTAGTGAAATTCCGACCAATAATTCGTCATAATGTATCACATTCAGGAGTATATTTTCACGGGAATTCGTTGAACAAGAACGAAAACGAGATTGAAACAAGATAGTGGACTGGAGTCGGTGCGCGGTGAGCGGTGTTTGTTTAGCGCGCCCTCTTATGGAAGAAATTGGAAAAAATAAAAATAACACGGAATGTCCTTACAATGCCAATTCCTTCAATTGTTTTACATTCATTCGTTGGCGGTTCCTGTCAATTTTCAAGATGCTCTTGTTAAATATCATGGCAAAAATGTTAGAAGAAATTTCATTTCAATGCAATGTGTTTATCTTGAGTTAATACAATAACTGTGTTTGCACTTTTGAGGCAGAAAAAACGATATTTTTTATTCTCATTTTCTACCTTGTTTGTCTTTTTTTCATGACCAATCATCTAGCCAGAATTCAATTCAATGCGTCTCTTAATTTTTTGAGCTAGCGTGTCTACCTGGACTATCGTTTCTGTGCAAAAGTGAGGCAAATGTTCTGTTTGGACTGTGACTACAGCCTATAGCCAAGTTTTTCTCCGTGTTGCGACACAAGACAATGTTGAGGGAGAGCATAACAATATTTTGTCTCAATCTTCTGTCTTGTTTGTCTATTTTTCAAAACCAGTCATCTGGCAACAATTCAATTCAATGCGTCATGTAATTTTTGTGATAGTGTGTCCAGCTGGACTATCGTTTCTGTGCAAAAGTGAGGCAAATGTTCTGTTTGGACTGTGACTGCAGCCTATAGCCAAGTTTTTCTCCGTGTTGACGGGGGGCACTGCTGATGGTGAGAAAAACAACATTTTGTCTCAATCTTGTCTTGTTTGTTTATTTGTCATGACCAGTCAGCTAGCTAAAATTCAATTCGATGCATCACTTAATTTCTGAGATAGAGTGTACGTCCAGCTTGACTATCATTTATGTGCAAAAGTGAGGCAAATGTTCTGTTTGGACTGCGTCTGCAACCCATCGCCAAGTTTTTCTCCGTGTTGCGACACAAGACAATGTTGAGGGAGAGCAAAACAATGTTTTGTCTCAATCTTCTGTCTTGTTTGTCTATTTTTCATGACCAATTATCTGGCCACAAGTCAATTCGATGCATCACTTAATTTTTGAAATAGCTTGTCCAGCACAGTACATCTATGATTGCCAATGAAGGATATGGTTTGTTTATGAGACTATAGCATTACACTTGAAATCACCTTTCATCATATCAATCCAAATATTGTTAACATTGTAATTACCTTTAAAAATAAAACGGTGTAATTTTGAGACAGTCACATGCACACTACATTGTTTCTTTTCAGTGAAAAGTTCAGGCTTTTTAAAGTAGCTCTACCCGCATTGTTTGGTTTACTAGTTTAAACAACGTAACCACTTGATTTTCTATTTCGCTCTCGGACGTTTCACGCCGTCAGAGAAAAAAATTATAAGCTTTATTTTAGATTCGAGGGATTTATTGGGCTCTTAAATAGTTCGAAATTTTTGTAACATCAAAATTCTCTAATTAAACGTGGGCGGATCGTTTCGATAGATGTCTCCATCATTACAAAGTGCAAAGCTTTCATATTGCTAGAAAAATAGAAATTTGAAAACAAAATGTATTTTTCATTGTCAAAACTAAAAAAATTGCACGGGCAAGCAACTATAAACTGATCACTTAATTCCGGTTATGCCATTCTACTTGTCCGATATAGCGCCCTCTGTTGAAAATTTGAAGAGCTCCCTCTATTGATATACATAAACAGCTAATTTGTGCTCCAATAAATAGCGCACCGCTATTGAAAAACAAAACAGCGCCCTCTACTGACCATACAGTTACCAACTCGCCCCCTTACCAACTCGCCCCACTTGTTTGCCCCAAACGGGAAAGGTCAATAGAGGGCGCCACTCATCTTATCAATTGAGGGCGCTATTTATCGAATCAATAGAGGGCGCAGTTCTCTTATCAGTTGACAGCTGGCGCCAGATATCACCACATGGGGAAATTGCAACGTAATCCACAACTCGTTTTGGAAAGGTAAATCTCAGAATAAAATACAGGATTCTTTTGGAGCAGTTACTCAAGATCAGCTTAGTAAGACACTCGTAACGTGAACGTATAGTTTTGTCCCATTCTGACTAATAAAAAAGTAATAAATTATGCTGGCAATCATGGCAATGGCTAGCCCGACTGCGTCTGGCCGTACTATCGCAAGCTCTGTAGTACGGCCAGACGCCCGATGCTTCCACAGAGACAGAATTGTTTTGGCCGCCGATGTAGCGATTTTGCTACATCTTTCGATCGCGATTATCTTTTCATCCAGGACACAAATTTCCATAGTTAAGGTTCGTAGTCGTAGAGCAACTCATACCTTTCGAAAAAACGTTCTTTGGTCTCAATATTTTCATCCATCTGGCCACAAGACGAATTTCAGTCATCAGATTCCACAAATATCGTCCCCCATGCGATCCCCCATGCGATTTCAAAATGGCGGCCGCGCTGTAATGTATGCATTATGCGAGCGCGCTTGGGCAAGATAATGAATATGCATTATTTAGTTCATGACCTCGTGTTTGTATGGCCAGCCGCGCTGAGTGTCCGACAAACGTCATAAACCATGATGCATATTCATTATCTTGCCCAAGCGCGCTCGCATAATGCATACATTACAGCGCGGCCGCCATTTTGAAATCGCATGGGGGATTGCATGGGGGACGATATTTGTGGAATCTGATGACTGAAATTCGTCTTTTGGCCAGATGGATGAAAATATTGAGACCAAAGAACGTTTTTTCAAAAAGGTATGAGTTGCTCTACGACTTCGAACCTTACCTTTGGAAATTTGTGTCCTGGATGAAAAGATAATCGCGATCGAAAGATGTAGCAAAATCGCTACATCGGCGGCCAAAAAAATTCAGTCTCTGTGGAAGCATCGGGCGTCTGGCCGTACTACAGAGCTTGCGATAGTACTGTACGGCCAGACGCAGTCGGGCTAGGCAATGGCTGGCAAAAAAAATGTCATTTAATGATTTAGGCCTAGGGCTAGGCTAGGCCTAGTCCGAAAATTTGGGACTCTTAAAACTGTGTATGAGAGTCCCAAAACTTAAGGCATCCATATCGTGCAAAAGTTTGTGCTGCATAATAAAACCAGTGTGAATCAAATTTGCAAGCTTCTTTGGCACTACAGTTTCCTCAATAATCCCCGAAACTTTCGGACAATAGGTGGCGCCACGCTGCGTGGCTAAAATAAATTTAAAAATAAATTTAATACACAACAACCAGATGGAGCAAAATTGTTGTTCACAAACATGACAAAGTGGAAGGAACTGAAGGTGATATTCGATAAGGAAACTAGCCGCAGCTGTGGAGAATGAAGCGATTTTGGGAATCCCTCGGTTGGACTGGGGTTATCGTGATGATGCTCTTGCTAGATAGAGTGTTCGAGATAGGTCAGCAAAAAGCATGGTCATGGTGTTTGAAGGTTCAAGTGTAGTCCGCGGACCGTAGCCTAACTTGGAGTTGGACCCTAGCCGGCATAAATGTGGCCAATTTACTGGACTACCTCCGCAATAAATGCCACACTTCCACCATGTCCATCATGTACAACAACATGTCGAACGTTTTGATATTCACATTTAGGCCTAGTTTGTACTTTATTTTTGGTTTAGAAATAGAAGTTACTCACCATGCTCACTTTTGTCATGTTTGTGCTGCCTTTTTCAGAGGTCTAATTTTCGTGAAATTTCATGTTGAAATTTTGTTTGATACGCGAACGTGTGCAAACGAATCTGGAAATTTCACGAAAAAGAGACATCTGAAAAAGGCAGCACTTTCTGATTAGGCTATAAAGAGGGTGAGTAGGCTTCTAAAGCAAAAATAAACTACAAATTAAGCCTACATGTAAATGTGCAAATCGAAATTTGACAAAGTTTGACATGTTTTTGTACATGGTGGAAGTGTGGCCTTTATTTACGGAGGTAGTCCAGTAAATTGGCCACATTTATGGGGCTAAGTTGGACCCAACTTATCGCCTTTTAAACATTTGGACATGGTCTGGCGATAGTGGGGTCCAAGCTAATTCCCGTATATGCCGAGCAACACAATTTTGTCTGTTGTCCCAAAAACCCAACATTGCCCAACAAAAACATCAGATTTCACCCTCAAAACGGCCTCCAAATTACTAGATACGCCACCTGAGGTTCAAGTAGACATCAATAATTAAGATGGTTGTACTGAAGTTTACTTACGATCTGGATGAAAAGTGAAATTTCCCATTCAATTCTGAGAGCTCCCCTTGCGATCGTGAACACGTTCAATTTCAGACTCATGTTAATGTTTTGAACGATGTGATGTGGTCTTCATGCCCAGCGTACATTGTACATTCGATGGTCCCCATATCCCGAGTGCGATTCCGTTACCGAGTGCAGTGTATCGATTATGATAACGAGTAGACTAGATCTCGTTTGTAAACACAAGTACATTTCTAGAGAGTCGGGAACTAGGACAGCTTTTATGGGCGGAAACCAGTTCAAGCTAGTTCCCGATTGTCTTTTACCGTTTGAAATCCACTTGTGTTCACAAGCGAGATCCAGTCTACTCATTTTCATAATTGATGCTTCGCGCTTGGTAACGGAATCGCACTCGGGATATGGGGACCATTGATTGTACGCTGGGCATGAAGACTACATCACGTCGTTCAAACATTAACACGAGTCGGAAATTTAACGTGTTCATGATCGCGAGGGGAGCTCTCAGAATTGAACGGGAAATTTCACTTTTCTTCCGGATCGTAAATAAACTTCAGTACAACCATCTTAATCATCGATGTCTATTTGTACCTCAGGTGGCCTAGCTAGTAATTGGGAGGCCATTTTGAGGGTGAAATCTGAATGTTAAAAAGACGATAAGTTGGGTCCAAGCATGGTCCAAGTTACTCGGACTACTGTAAGTGTAGTCCGAAAATTTGGGACTCTCAATACTGTGTATGAGAGTCCCAAAACTTATGGTATTGAAAACATGCAAAGCAAGAAAATAGACTGGCACCTGAAACAACCAGTCCAACACAGCTTCAGTACTGCATCAATCAACCATGCCAAAAGAATTAAAGAAACGTGTGGCATAAAGCGGGAACTAGTCTCAATTTACTACACATTTCTCCGTAGTCAAGCCACCAGACTTTTGACACTGAATGAAGAGGTCAGTCTTTTCAAATAGTTGGACCATATGGTCATGATGGTTGGACATGTACCAGTCTAGTATTTAGTCCCATTTTGAAATCACTTGACTTCCCTCTCATGTGCAAAATATTGAAGAAAAATCTCCTTTGAAAATTGAATTGAGTCTCCAAACTTGGTTGGTGAAATACTGAGGACATTTTCTTTGCCCGTTTTGTTTTGCACGTTTCAGAGCACTCCAGAGCCCTGTCTGCTGTAAGTGTAACTTAGCCCTAGTCCTAGCCCAGGTTGGACTCTGTTGTGTACACGCAACGGAGTCCAGGGTATGAATCTCTCCTGCCATAGCGAAAAAAGTTTTAACACATTTAGTATTAGTAAATATTGCTTGAGATTGTTTATGCTTATTGAATTCTTCTCATTGTCTTTGGGTAATGTATTTTTTTTTTCATTAGAAAATTGACGTGGCAGGTCACACAGTGGATGATTTGGTGAACAAGACAATAGAATACCTTCAGCCCAATCCAGGTAAGAACCAAAATTGCAACATCGTTGACGCTAACCTTCCCAAATCCTCCAAAATTCTATTTGCAAAATGTAGGCTTTTGCAGGATTGAGGCTATATGGCAAAAATGTGTGCCTGATTTATGAGGATGCACTGTGTCAAGGTCTTGGGCCGGATCTTGTGTTGTTCCCTGAGCTCAGAGAACCAGACTAGCTGGCTTGCATCCATTCACGGATGTGTAACCGCTTGCAAAAAAAATGTGGACTAAATAAATTGGGTAAATTGGGGCACTATTTGGACAAATCAGTTTCTTCCTATGATGGTCGGCCGACCATCTTTTGAAATCAATACAAAAATTCCCATTTTCTTAAAAATGACAGCACACCAGGTGCCATGATTTCACAGGATGTCTGAGACTGTCATTCACCTACAGTCAAGTAAAGTATTTCATAATAATTTGCTAGTTTTGTTTGTTGATGTTTGCAAATGTCGTTTATTACCTTTAATTGTAACCTTTGGAATAATTATGTTTGGGGTGACTATAGAACACTGGTTTGAATCGGGTCTAAGTATTCACTTCAAACAAACCAAATAGAGATAGATCTTCTATTTGTGTGCTAAACCTAATCAATCGTATTGTCTTTCCTGAACAGTCTCCAGAGCCATGAGCAAAGTCCGTGGTCAGAACAAAGGAGGAACCAAGCCTCAACAACCCGTAGGATTCCTGGGAGAATTCATGCTGAAGAACGGCAGAGAATTAGGAGAAGATTCAACGTTTGGTGAGCAAGCTTCAAGATGTATTCTCTTTCCTTCTGTGGTAGACTGATCAAAAAGCTCTCAAAAAGGTGCTCTAATCAGTGTTCCAATCCACCAACATAGTACCATGAATATTGTGTAATTTATGTAGAGCCCAGCACTTCAGATAAGCAAGGCTAAGTAAAGAAATAAACCAGTTTCTCGTACCTGGCCGCTGTCTTTTTTGCAGCCACTTAATTTTTATTTTTTTATTTTTTTATTTATAAATGCATACATTTGCAATATACAGGTGAGTCAAAAAAGACGAAACTCAACTGGCAGGACCAAGTTTTGAATAAAGTTTTGCCTGTAGCACTTTCCAAATCTAGGATATGAAAGCCCAATCAATGAGCTTTGTATTAACACAATGTAATCTTTCCTGTTATAGGTATTATAAAAAGATGGATTTTGTTATGTTTTTGTTTTTGTTTGGATACAGGTACGGCGATGGTCGAGATGGAAGAATCACTGAGGCAACTTTCTGAAGTCAAGGACGCCTTCGATCTGAACGTCAGACAGAACTTCCTGGATCCCCTGGATCATCTCAAGAACAAAGATCTGAAGGCGATCAACGTGAGTTCCATCTTACAAAATCTAACATCATCCATTATGCGGTTGATTCTGATAGAATCAGGACTGTGTTGCACAGCCACGTTCGGGGAAATTCAAGCACAAATTAGGGAAAATGGAAAAGCGTAAAGCCACATCAGAATGAAGTGGCTACGGCTAATACATTAGTTGCACCTATGGAAGCAGATGAAGCCACTTCCCATGTGGGCTAGTGTTAGTCGTAGCCATGTCATTCAGACATGGCTAATGCTCACTAACAGAAGGGTTAACCAGGGTTACTGGAAATTACATTCTCATATAGCGTAATCCGGCGAGCAAAATTAGAAGCCATTTTCGAGGTTGCGCCACAACTACGTGCACGCGTTCTTAAAGACGAGGCTCGCAAATGTTTTGGTCAAAGGAGTCCGGAGTGCGCGATTCACGTGAGCCTAGTGCCTCCGCAGAACCATCTGAACATGCTGAAAGAGGTTGTCCCCAAATTAGTCTATGCTACCCCTGACGAAGAAATTTAAACTGAAAAAAAATGTGAAATTCTTGCACTGGTTGTTCACGGTAGAGTAGATCATTTGCAGCTATCCAAAAAGTAATTGATAACATTCATTTTGAAAAGCATACTTTGTTTTAAAGATAGTAATGGCTCTGAACTGCCTGTGAAATTATTCTTTCTTGCATGCTGTCATTTTGAAGAAAACAATTAAAGAAGGTTGTTTCCAAAGATGCGTCTAAAGATGCATTTTCGGACCTTGTACCATTAGGCCAAAAAAAAAAAAGTCTCCGGTTTCTGGTATGGAGCTTGCCCCAAAAGTGGTGCGGCGACGCGGCTTTTTTTTTTTTTTACCTGGTTTTTTTTTTTTTTGGCTTCAAATGTCGGCTGATGACTGCAAATGGTGCCCGACTAAACTTAGTGCAAATATATGGGAGTCCAGAGAGGCCACATAAATCTTATTCTCGATCATAACCCCATCTAAAAACACGTTAAAATTGTGCAGCAGCAGAATTCCAGTCAAACCAGTGAGTTTGGCGGTTTTGAAACATCATCTTGTATTGAAAAAAACACTTTTTCGTTTTGCCGACGCGCATGGCTAAGGCGACGCGCGCGCATACCAGAAACCGGAGACATTTTTTTCTGGCCTTATAGCAGATAACTTATGATCCGCACAACTAAGTTCTGATCATAATGCTTCACAGGGACAAGCTTTTGTCAAATCACAGACAAATTGCGACTATAGCAGATTACTTACGATCAGCACTGCTCCGCATATGAGAAGGCTTGTGCTCTTGGTGATATGGGAGACGAAGTGAACCAGGGCAGGCCTGCATCCAGGGCGACCAGTCAATGCAATAATCTGTGGCCTGTACAGGGAAATACAATCATCCACAAATTGAAAGGAAGAGGGAATAGAACCTGGGACCTCCGCATTGCCGTTCCAGTGCTCTACCAACTGAGCTACCAAGCTCCATTGTGTTTAGTCTCCCACTTTGTCAATGTCTATGTTAAGAATAGGCATTGGTCAGAGTTGTAATGACTCGAGTCGACTCGAGTCACAATTTTATGCAAAATTTATGTTCACAATACTTTGCAAATACAGTACGGTACAGCCGCCGCTTGTAGTGTACAAACATACAACGTGACACAGACTCCCGCCTTGTGGTTCTGGAACGCACAAAATCATATTCCGGAACCGGACTTTAAACGCATTTTATATACTTTCACTGTTTAGTTCATTGAATTTGAAAAATGATTGTAGGTGTTCAGGGAAAATATTTAGTTGGTGGGTTTTCATCAATTTTGTATAATTGGCTCTTATCTGCTTTTGCAAATGTACTCTTCAAATGCTTTACAAGGTCTTGGGCCGGATCTTGTGATGTTCCCTGAGCTCAGGGAACCAGACTAGCTGGCTTGCATCCATTCACGAATGTGCAACCGCTTGCAAAAAAAATGTGGACTAAATAAATTTGGTAAATTGGGGCACTATTTGGACAAATCAGTTTCTTCCTACGATGGTCGGCCGACCATCTTTTGAATTTAATACAAAAATTCCACTCTTCTTAAAAATGACAGCACACCAGGTGCCATGATTTCACAGGATGTCTGAGACTGTCATTCATCTACAGTCAAGTAAAGTATTTCATAATAATTTGGTAGTTTTGTTTGTTGATGTTTGCAAATGTCGTATATTACCTTTAATTGTAACCTTTGGAATAATTACGTTTGGGGTGACTATAGAACACCGGTTTGAACCTGGTCTAAGTATTCATTTCAAACAAACCAAATAGAGATAGATCTTTTATTTGTGTGCTGACCCTAATCAATCGTATTGTCTTTCCTGAACAGTCTCCAGAGCCATGAGTAAAGTCCGTGGTCAGAACAAGGGAGGAACCAAGCCTCAACAACCCGTAGGATTCCTGGGAGAAGTCATGCTGAAGAACGGCAGAGAATTAGGAGAAGATTCGACGTTTGGTGAGCAAGCTTCAAGATGTATTCTCTTTCCTTCTGTGGTAGACTGATAATAAAGCTCTCAAAAAGGTGCTCTAATCAGCGTTCCAATCCACCAACATAGTACCATGAATATTGTGTAATTTATGTAGTGCCCAGCACTTCAGATATATGCAAGGCCAAGTAAAGAAATAAACCACTAGCTGCCCGCTGCCTTTTTTGCACCCACTTTTATTTTTAATTTTTTTTATTTATAAATGCATGCATTTGCAAGCTAGGTGAGTCAAAAAAGATGAAACCCAAATGACAGGACCAATTTTTAAATAAAGTTTTGCCTGTAGCACTTTCCAAATCTAGGATATGAAAGCCCAGTCAATGGGCTTTGTTTTAGCGCAAGAATCATTCAAATCACTCATGAACTTTTAAAGTTGCTTCATTTTGAACACAAACACTGTTTTAAAAGTTCTGTCCGGATCACAAAAAGGTAAGTGTTCTTTCAGTAAAATGAAAACAATTCGCATGCATCCCTCTGAGAATTGTTATCACTTTGCTGCAAGAACACTTCCTATTTTTGTGATGTGTGGACAGAACTTTTAAACGGAGGATGTGTTCAAAATTTCGTAACTTGAAAAGTACATGAGTGATTTGGATGATTCTTGTACTAAAAGAAAGTTTAATAACTGGGCTTTCATATTCTAGATTTTAAAAGTGCTACAGTAAAAACTTCAATCAAAAATTGGTCCAGCCGTTTGGGTTTCGGTTTTTTTACTCGCCCTTTATTTGGCAAATTTGTCAGTTGTCTGTTTATTTGTTTTTAACAATATTGTAGCTACATGTACTAGTACAGCAGATAGGCGATGGGATTGTGCCTTTGATGATACAAGCATGGCATTTGGCACACAGTCAGAGTATGTCACGAGAAAGATATTTGGCCATAGGGCCATCGCAGATTTGTCCTTTGAAAAAATATAGACAAATCCGATGGCAGCCATTTTCTGCGGTGGCGCAATGTTTGCGCGAGTCGCACTCAGGTAGGGCGCGTGCTCTAGGCTCCTTTGACCAATAAGAATACCAAAATGCACGCGCGCCTCGTCTTTAAGAACACGTTCAGTATGCGCGTGAGCGTGACACCACCGCAGTAAAAACCGGCTAATTCTGGTCGCCAGATTCCACTATAGGTAGTAAAATGACCAATGACAGCCATTTTGAAAATTTTGAATATTGCTTGTTAACTAGATTTTTTCAAAGGGCAAATCTGTGATGGCCCTTTAATAAGACATACTCTGACTGTGTGCCAAATGCCATGCTTGTATCATCAACTTTAGGCACAATTCTCTCAAATATTTCCGCTGAATAATGCATTTCATAGACCATCCCAGCTCCCGTGGTACACATAGCCCAGCTGTTCTCATTTTGGTGGAAACAACAGAACAATAAAATCTAGCATTTTGTTTTTTTGGATACAGGTACGGCGATGGTCGAGCGAATTGCTGAGGCAACTTTCTGAAGTCAAGGACGCCTTCGATCTGAACGTCAGACAGAACTTCCTGGATCATCGCAAGAACAAAGATCTGAAGGAGATCAACGTGAGTTCCATCTTACAAAATCTAACATCACCCATTATCTGGTTGATTCTGATAGAATCAGGACTGTGTTGCACAGCCACGTTCGGGGAAATTCAAGCACAAATTAGGGAAAATGGAAAAGCATAAAGCCACGTCAGAATGAAGTGGCTACGGCTAATACATTAGTTGCACCTATGGAAGCAGATGAAGCCACTTCCCATGTGGGCTAGTGTTAGTCGTAGCCATGTCATTCAGACATGGCTTATGCTCACTAACAGAAGGGTTAAGCAGGGTTACTGGAATTTACATTCTCATATAGCGTAATCCGGCGAACAAAGTTAAAAGCCATTTTTGAGGTCGCGCCACGACTACGTGCACGCGTTCTTAAAGACGAGGCTCGCAAATGTTTTGGTCGAAGGAGTCCAGAGTGCACGATTCACGTGAGCCTAGTGCCTCCGCATTTATCCTGAGTTATCCTGTTCACAGACAAACCAAGGCCGATGAAAACATATACCTCACCTCATGTCTAATAATGCATTTCATAGACCATGCATTTCATAGACAATCTTAGCTTCCAGGGTATACTTAGCACAGCTGTTTAGTTTTGGTGGAAACAACAGAACAATAAAATGTTGTTTTTTATACATTGTAGGTATCAATAAAAAAAAAATTGTTTTGGTTATTTTTTGGATACAGCTACGGCGATGGTCGAGATAAGAGAATCACTGAGGCAACTTTCTGAAGTCAAGGGCGCCTTCGATTTGAACGTCAGACAGAACTTCCTGGATCCCCTGGATCATCTCAAGAACAAAGATCTGAAGGAGATCAACGTGAGTTCCATCTTACAGAATCTGACAGAATGTGGTTGATTTTGATAGAAGCAGGACTGTGTTGCACAGCCACCTGCGGGGAAATTCAAGCACAAATTGTGGCCAATCTGGAAAAAAAATGATAGAAGACCAGTGATCGATAAATGGTTGATTTGGGTTGTAACTTATGCCTGTGTACTTTTTGTCATTCGATAAATTTGGGGTCCACTTTTTTCCTGTCCCTGTTACATCTGACATCTGTGATTTTATAATTCTGATGCACTCCTTAATGCAGTCGTCCTCCAAGGGTGATTATGAATAGCAAACTACCTACACAACGAATACAAAATTGTTTAAAGTCATTCTTAACCCTAACTCCCTGGGCATTTTTGCGATGATGCTGCAAAATCCTCCAACTGCCTCCATGTCAAAATTGCATGCAGCCTCAATCCTGCAAAATCTTCCATTATCTCTTGAATGTGATCCGTGGAAGAATGATCACTGCCTCAATCCTACAAAATCCTCCAGCAATCACTGTCAATATGTTGAGGCAGAGCCAGTGACATCCTGGAGCAGTGCGGAGGACTTCAAGTATAATTTATGCACAGCTGAGCATCAACAGCACAAGGCCCGGCCCAAGACCTTGACACACTGCATCCTGCAAAATCAGCCACACATTTTTGCCAAACAGCCTCAATCCTTCAAAATCCTCCATTTTGCAAAGAGGATTTTGGAGGATTTGGGAAGGTTAGGGTTAATGCAGTCGTCTGCCAAGAGTGATTATGTGAAGCAGACAACCTACCCAACAAATTGTTGAAGTCATTCTTAATGATACTTGAACAGCAAATGACTATGCTCAGAGATAACAGGAACTCGAAAATTGTCACACTTTGACCCATAATTTATATAAGGAGCCTTACAGCAGTGTGCAAATGTCTCTTGTCAAACAGTACATTAATTTTCTCCCCAATGTTTGATTTCTACAGCACCATCGGAAGAAGTTACAGGGGCGACGTCTAGACTTTGACTACAAAAAGAAAAAGCAAGCAAAAGGTAGGCGACAGATTATCTCAACTCCATCATATCAAATCATCTTACATTACTAAAATCATAACTAAAAGAAAAATAACTGTCAGGCTTCCAAAGTGTTATTGTTAACCTGACACTGCAGTGATGCGTGACTGAAATTAAATGAAACTCATCGGGGTTGAGGCCAAGATAGGGAGTATCTGCACAATCAAACTTTTGCCAATTGGACTTCATGGTTTTGTAGTTATTTCAAAAATAGTCAGACGGACATTTCTTTTGGACATACTGTACAATGCGTATAATATTTGTTTGCACTAAAAGAAAAACAAAAATTGCATTGAAAATAGTGTTCCTTGCAAGCCTTTAATTGTGGTTTAGATTTTTTGATGACTTAGTTTAGACAGTCGAGAAAAAGTTTGAACTTTGTGTCAACCATATTCACTCAGCCTCAATATGTGTTAGTCGTAGCCATGTCATTCGGACATGGCTAATGCTCACTAACAGAAGGGTTAAACAGGGTTACTGGAAATTACATTCTCATATACAGTGGAACGTTGCTATACCAAACACCGCTATTTTGAAATATATTATCCCAGATTTCTAAAGCTCGGTAGTCATTTTTTGGAAAATCAAAACTGGATTAGAGTTCACTTTTTCATTTTGCAGTTTTTGTTATGTTTTGGTTTTGATGCTAGCTTGTGCATGTTACTTCCTTTATTTTGTTTGGCATTTCACGGGAACGTCCTCATGAAACTTGCATGTTTTGTTTTTAAACATCCTGCTTGGAACACTAACAGCATGTCATAGAACAAACGTAGCCAGCATTTTCACTTTGCCTGCATGTTTAAGCCAGCTGCTATGTTTTCTTGATTGGAGATTATCATTCCGTTTTCATTTCATTTTTTTTTCAGTTTATTTTAAGCACATCCAAATCAAGCAACAGTCCAAAGACCAAAAATGTCTGTTTTACTGGGTGATGAAATACGACAATTTATGTTATCAATAAAACCTCAACAAGATCTTCAAAAAGAAAAAGAAAAGTTGCAGTGGAAGATCTTCAGATTGACCAAAAAAATGGTTGATTTTAAGAGTGTTTTTAGTTTAACATCAAAAGACATATTGTGTTACAAGTTTTAGAATGTAATTTGTAACTGTTGTAAATTATTGTCTACTAAAGAAGGACAATTACTGGCAAAGAGTTAATGTCGGTTGTAGTTGATTCTGTCAGAAATAACATGAATTTGTATATATGGAGGTATCATGAATATTCGTTACATCTCATACATATTAATGAGCCTGTTTTTGCATTTTGTTGGTCAATATTCAATTGCATTGATGAAAAAAATTGACCCAAATCATTTTTGCGTGGACTCAAACTTGGAAAAGTGTAGATAAGTGACTTTTCCGAGGACGAAATTGAGAATGTCTAAGTGTTAAATATGTGTGAGTTGTAATAAGTACGGAACTTTGTTATGCAGCTGATTTCACAAAACAGTGCGTAACTTACGCCATGCGTAGGACTTACACGCAACAAACTTATTGCGCGGCCACGCAATGAACTTACGATCGATTTCACAAAAGTTGGCGTTCATGGGCCACGTTTTAAACAATCTAAACATCTTGGACGAGGATAATAACAGCATTTCATGGAAGAAATGTTTGTGTATGATTTGTTCGTTCGTGAAGCAGTTGTTGAATCACTTCCGCCCGCCATTTTGAAAAAAAAACGTGGATTAATACAAAAAAATCTTAAAAAGCAATCAAATTTAATAGACGAATGAAGTATACAAAATGTAGCTCCATGGAATGCCATTGGAAGCTATTGAGCTGAGTGAGAATTACAGATTACACACAGGCATTCAAATACAAATGAGATTTCAATCATTTGAGTCAAGACTGAAACAGTATTTTTACTGTCAGATTTTGTGTTTCGATTACGAGGAACAAGTCCACTCTTTTTTTCTGAAATATTGATGGCGATTTTTGTCCGTTTTTCCATTCATTCATGGAGGTGGGAAAACGTTTATGTTTCATGGTATTTAATGGGTATTTATTTGTTTGCAGAATGATAAATGATCAGTGGTGGACAATTGAATGTTGGATCATTGTATCAAAATATTCATTACTTGGGAATAGAGTATGCAAATTACGTGAAATTTTCACAGTTACTAGTCAATAACAAGTACTTTACCCCTATTTTTATTAAACAGAGCGAGCCACATAGTTTTTGAAATATGTTTCGAATTTGGTCACTTTCTTTATGACTCATTGTGTACATGGTGACGGATTAACTCTAACTCCCTAGCATGATGTACCAGGAACCATACCCATCCTGGCAAATTCCAACACCATGTGGGAAACTGCTCACACATATTTCTGACTTTGATTCTGGAGGTGTGCCAACCCAATGTAAAAGACTGTCAGTTTAAGGGTACTGTACCCATCCTGACAGATTCCCACTAAACATGCCGTTGGGGTTTGATGGGTTGAGTTCTGTTAGGGTTAATGCATGCTTGCATGATGCAGGAATTATACTACATTTCCACACCAGGAAAATACTGGCATCTTGGATAATTCTGAGCCAATATTTCTGACTTTTGTTCTCATCAATCTTGTTTTTGTTTGTGTTGCAGGAAGCACAATTCCTGAAGAAGAAATCCAATTTGCAGAAGAGAAGTTTCACGAATCTCAGGAGCTTGCTGAGAACGGGATGAGGAACCTCCTTGAGAGTGATGTAAGTACCTGACAAATCGGAGCAAAGATGAGCCAAGATGCACTAGAGCATCTTACTACTCAATCAGATACCACTCATTGAGTCTCAAGAACAACTTTTCACTTTATATTTCTTCGCATTTATTTTGATATTTCTCTCAGTTCAACCATGGAAGAATAATTTATACCGATATTGTATGGGTGAAGAGATTGACGGTTTCCTTTTTAATTCTGTTGTGTAAGATATTCTTTAAATTGCCATGTAATTTAATTGTTTTAATGCAATCCTTGAAAATGCACCTTGATTTCTTTAACAGGTTGAGCAGGTGTTACAGCTTCAAGCGTTAGCCGAGGCTCAGCTAGAATACCACAAACAGTCTGCAGAGGTCTTGGAAAGCCTTCTCTCAACACTCAATGAAAGGTATGCCAACAGTGCTGGACTTGTGATGGACTTGTGACTGACTTGTGATTGACTTGTGATCGACTTGTGATGGACTTGTGATGACTTGTGATGGACTTGTAATAGAGTTGTGATGGACTTGTGACAGACTTGTGATGACTTGTGATGACTTGTGATAGACTTGTGATTGACTTGTGATGGACTTGTAATGGACTTGTAATATAGTTGTGATGGACTTGTGATGGACTTGTGATGGACTTGTGATGGACTTGTGATGACTTGTGATGGACTTGTGCTGGACTTGTGATTGACTTGTGATGACTTGTGATGACTTGTGATGGACTTGTGATGACTTGTGATGGACTTGTCATTGACTTGTGATGACTTGTGATGACTTGTGATTGACTTGTGATTGACTTGTGATGGACTTGTCATTGACTTGTGATGACTTGTGATGGACTTGTGATGACTTGTGATGGACTTGTGCTGGACTTGTGATGGACTTGTGATGACTTGTGATGGCCTTGCGATGGCCTTGTGACTGACTGACTATAATACCCAAACTTGTCAGTTAGCATCCTTCTCAATGTTCTGTGATGTTTTCCAGGGTTGAGGAGGCAGGCAGTCGACCCAAATCAGAACGCAAACCCAGAAGTACTTTCAACTCTTACTCCACGAAGAGAGACTCCAGTGACGGAGACGACACCGACGCGTACCCGTCAACGGTGGATTACAACGCACCAGGTAAGTCAACAGGGATCTCATGCTCCAGCTCAGCACACAGTTTGCTTAAGGTTGCAGGCCAGTAAATAGGCCCACAATTGCCTTCCCTGGCCAAATCACAATTTGAATGCCCTCAATTTGTTTGCTACATGTATTGGAGCATTTTGTGGGCCGTGAACTTGAGGGTTTGTAAAAAAAAAGAAGGGTCCATGCCGTGATGAGGACGAAATTTGGATGAAATTACCAGTAGGCCCAAAATTTGCTCTATTTTGCAATGGAGCATAGACATCGTTTTTCAAAATGGCGATGGACTTCAGGACTACTTTTGTGATATTTATTTCCAATTTCTCAGTACCTGTAACGGCAACGAAGGAACGCTGCAAGGCACTGTACGACTTTGAGGCAGAAAACGAGGGCGAACTGGGGTTTCAGGAGGGCGACATCATCAGCATCGTCAGTAAGATCGACGAGAATTGGATCGATGGAGAGTTAAACGGTCACACGGGATACTTCCCAGCTAACTACGTGGAAATTATCTAACCGGTTTAATCATGGTAGGTGGTAGCGTTACTTATAGTGTTGCAGTTTGTACTTTGTCATCGTGTGGTTGAGTATGAGCGTGAGTTCTTCGCGATGAGTACACGTACAAGTACTTTGTCATCCTGAGTTTGAGTACGAGTACGTTGCCATGGGCACAAGGACACATTGAAGTACTTCGTCATCATGAATTCAAATACAAATACGAGTACTTTGCCTTGAGTACTAGTACGAGTACGCATATTCTGGCATGACAAGTATGAGTATGAGTACTTTGTCTGAGTATGAGTCATTTCTATCAGTATGAGTACTACAATACTGGTTACTCACAGTGGAACTCTGTGTACAGTGAACAGATACATTGAATAGCGCCCTCTGGAGAGTGGTCCTATGTATATCAGCATAATGTCAATTGTGTACTTTTTTTTTTTTTTTTTTAAATTCCATCATATTAAGCTATTAGTCAGGTGGCTTAGTGAAATTACCGTTACTCGGCGGATAAAAGCACCATATTTGGCACAAGGGTCCCTTGCGGCTTATTAATTAATGTTAGCCTAGGAGCCCTCCGGAATTTAAAAAAAAAATCATGTAAAACACATAATTTCAAAATGGCCGACATCCATGACAAAATATCGCTTTTCTCGAGTCCTGGGAGTCATAAAAGGGTGGTTGCCAAATTTCTGACTTTTAGGCAGTTGAAGGTCACTTTGGACATTGTAATAGTACCAGTATATTTTAAATTTTTTATTAATATCAATATCAACAGGACAATTTTCAATAAACGTCCACCTTCATCTGGTTGGAAGGGAAATGTTATCACCCCCCCCCCCAAAAAAGTGAATAATCGCGAATCATGCATTTCAGTAACTAGACAACACTCTTTTTTGAAGCAACTAACACCACTGCTTTATTTGTAGGCCACCAAGTAGTTTTCAATTTTCATTACTACATGCATCTCACATCACAGAGACAAGGCCATTGCAGGCATTTGAGTTGAAATGCAATGTAAACAAAATTCTTACAGTTACTTACAATGTATGTGGCATTGTTCTGTAATGTCTAACACACACTTTACAATGTTACAACTTGCAAAGTGGTGAGCAATCCAGATTTGCTTTGCCGCATTTGCTGCAAAACCAGTCTCCTTTGCAGGAGCGTATTTGATAAGCTCTCTGCACGATCTGGAAATTTCTGAAATTTTCATCTTTACTGGTACCCATGACTGATATCTTGGGCCAGGCAAACTCCTGCGGAGATGGAACCAATAGCTGTGTTTGTGAGCTATTCGTCCAGATTCCTGATTGACACACTGCCCGTCTGACATGCTGGAGTACCCCATCCTTGGTGGATGGCAGTTTGTTCATTGCTCGATTCTTATGGCAGAAGAGTTCCCCTCTTATCCCATTGACAGAGCTCAGGGGACATGGTTTTATCAAATAGGATTACAGTCAGTCTCTCGATCCTTAGAAAATGGTCATCGTTGAGATCCAGCATCTGGAAAGGATGACCAGCCAGATACATGTCTCTGTTACGTCTTCATTGTCCTGCCACTGAGGCCTGCCCAACCGACCTCTTACACCCTTGAAATTAAAAGCAAAGGTAGTGTCGCAACCTGAAAATGCGTGGAACACAGGTAATGCTCATGATTGAGGCTCCCCCAGGTTTGCGCAGATGGCCTTGATGTGGTAAAACTTGTATTTTTACCCATGCCAAAGACCACCAAGATGTCGGCCAAAGGTTGAGTCGCAATCAGACTTGGAATGTGCCAACAAGGATGACTACAACATCTGTGTCCCTAGTACGCACATAGTCTTTCACCCCTGTTTCAGTGCATGTACCACATGAACCACAACACAGGTGTCATCATGATTACAGTTTTGCATGGGGGATGCTGCCACCAATGGATGCCACAGCTTGTTCTGATGTGACATGTACAGCTTTGGCTGATGGCCAGTTCAACTCTTCAACCTTGGAAGTCAAAAAGCAAACAGCTCCTTCTAGTTGGTTGGGTCACGGAGGAAGTCCATCCAATTGCCTAGCACTGAGTTTGGTCTCACCCGACACTTTCCTGCGTACACCCTTACATCTTTTCCCCGGATTGACTCCTTTAAACTGTCTGGGATGTATGTGTCCCACACAACATCCAACCTCGCGGCATCCTGCAGCTGCCTCCCCAGGTAAGGGACGAAGACCCTGTCTGTAAATAAGAACGCTGTCTCTTTGTTTTGGTCACTTCAACAATGAACACGGTCTGCAAATAGACAAACAGAAATGTAATATGATTAAGAAAGGTTGGTAATCCTCTATCTCCCCCCAAGTCTTTGGCACAAAATGTTCCTATGTGTCCTTTGGTGTGACAAAGACTGAGAACATGAATAAAGAACATTATTAACGGTTAATCTAGACAGAACATGAATCAAGAACATTATTAACGGTTAATCTAGACTAAACTGTAACACCAAAAACTGGAAACGTAAGGGTAAAGTATGATCCAATTAATAGGATCACATATCATAGTCAGAGTGCCAGGCAGGCTTGTTAGTACTGCGACCGGACCGCCTGGGTGCAGCAGCTGGGGTGTCAACTGCAGGAGGGGTAGCGGGCTTGGTACCAATGACCTGGGGAGGCAACATCGAAGGTACTGGGCCGCTGGGCCTGCTGGCTTGTGACGACTCATCCATAGGTGGGGGCGGAGCATCAATAAGGGGCCGACGTTCTTGACTCGGAGGGTCCTGGGTCATTCTGGGCGATGTGCCAGGGTCTGTAGCATGTGCCAAGGGCAACGAGAGTCGCTGTGGAGTGGCGCCAGTTGCGGTGGGGGAGTGTGTCGACTTGGGCACTGGGTTAGCAGTCGGCTTTGGTGGACAATGAACCTCCTCGTGACTGGTCAGATTTGTCTTGTACACAATGCCTTGGCGTGGGATGATCCGGCGAACTGTCGGCTGACGCACTCCGATGTCATCATCCATTGTCAATCGTGGTGTGCGTATTTGTACGGGAATGTACCTTCTCAGGAATTTCCTATTACGCAGGGTCACTCTTCCTGAACCATCAACCCTCACAACGTATTGGTCAAACTGGCGGACTTCAACTATGATGCCAGTTTTGTCCCATTTAAGGGGGTGTGGCCCTGTCTGATTCTGGATGCGGACGTGGTCACCCACGACAAGGGGCAAGAGCCTTTTGGTGTGTTCGGACCAGCGCTCGGCACCTGTCATGTGGCGATTGCGGAGAGCTTCTTCTCGAGCCGCCAAGGTCTCACGCCAAGTGTTATGGGGCCTGTATTTGCCAGGTGGTATGGGGATGAAGTCCCGAATCGGGCGTCCAAATATGCACATTGCCGGGGAGAGTTTGGTGTCTCTGTCAGGAGTATTTCTATACTGGAGCATTGCGCGTTGGAATGCGTCAGTATCGAGGTCACCATTACTGCTGGTGTTGTCCATGATCAGACGTTTTACGGTCTTGACACCAACTTCAGCACGACAGTTGCTATGTGGATAAGCTACTGAGGAAAGGCGATGATGTACACCCCAGTCCTTCAAGAAGTGACGTGTAGCTATAGCCGTGAATTCAGGACCACCGTCAGAGGCCAGCTCATCAGGAATACCGAAGGTGACAAAGGTGCGTCGTAGGCAATTGATGAGCCCAGCTGCGCCATGGGAGGACTTCTCGACAATCGGCCAGTTGGAATAACGGTCGACCACTACCAAGTAGTTGCAGCCTTTGTAGGTAAAGAAGTCGGCACAAACACACTGGAATGGGTAGTCCGGGGGCGTCAGGGGGGTGGGTGGTGCGCTCGGATTAGAGGGTGCAATCCGATTACAATGGTTGCACCCAGCGCGAAGGGCTGCAATGGCAGGGGTGATACCAGGCCAGAAAATAGATGCCTCGGCTCTTGTGGTCATAGAGGTAACCCCTTGATGGGCAGCATGTAGATTGGCTAACACCTCCTCCCTCAGAGAGAGGGGTATAACGACACGGTCCTTGTAGAGTATCACGCCGTCAACGGTATGTAGGCTATCCCGAAACTGGAAGTACTCGCGAAGGGGTCTAGGGAGCTCATGGCGGAATTCAGGTATGCCAGATTCGATGAGGTCAACAAGGCCCTGCATGTTGTCGTCACTGGCTGTAGCGGTACGAACCCTGTCCCACGTAACAGATTTGAGGCTGAGTGAGTCTAGGGAGGACACAGCAGATGAGAAGATGCATTCTTCGATGGTGTCTGTATGTGTTGCTGGGGTGCGCAGGCCAGCCATGAGACGTTTAGAATGTGCCAAGATGACGGGTGCGGAATCAATGGACGCTACATCGTCAGGGAGGATCAGTTTGACAGGCTCGCCAGTAGGGTGACGCGAGATACAGTCTGTGGCACGATGTCTAATGCCTGGCACATGGATCATGCGAAATCGGTATCGCAGGGTTTTCTCTTTCAAGTTCCTTAGGCGAGGGTTAGGGATGTCTTCCAGGCATCGGTCAGTGAAGATCTTCAAGAGGGGCTTGTGATCAACAGCAATTATAAGGTCTTCGCATCCCAGTACGAAGTGTCTGGCTTTATCTAGGGCATCAGCGACTGCAAGGGCTTCACCCTCCACTGGGGCATAGCGTGATTCAGCAGGGTGTGTGAATCTGCTACCGACGAGCGTGATTTTCCATCCCGAGTGACAACAGAATGGTTCCATTTTTGTGCAGGAACAGTGTTTCTGTAGTAGCCAGAAGCCAATGCCATTCTTGGACCAATCTGTTGCCAAACACGTAGGCTTGCTCGGGTCAAAGATTTGGACGCCCTCTTCGATCTCGCTGGCTATCACAGCTTTCGATTCCTCAAATGCATTTTGGAGGTTCTCATCCCACTTGAATGATGAGCTAGGTTTCAAAAGTTGCCGGAATGGCAGCATCTTCTCAGCCATGCTGAAGGCGTACGAAACTTGGTTGACAAGCCCAAACCAGGAACGTACATCAGTGATGTCCTTGGGTGTTGGGAAATCCAGGATGGCCTGTAGGTACTTCCTACAAGGCCGGACGCTGTCAGGAGTTATCTCAAACCCGGCGAATTCTACAGTGTCTTCACCAAACACAAACTTGTCAGGGTTAAGGGTGATCCCATTCCGTCCACAGGTGTCGAGCCACTGAACAGCTTGAAAGAAGCAGTCTGCTAGCGAGTCAGCCCAAAGCAGGACATCATCTACACACTTGGTTTTGTTTGGGATGTCTGACACAAACTCGTCATACCGCCTCGTGTATCCATCGCCGGAGGCAATGTACCCTTGAGGGGCCGTTTTGTAACGGTATCTACCCCAGGGTGTTATGAATGTCGTCAAGTGTCGGTCCTCCTTGCGGATGGGAACACTGTGGTAACCGTTCCATGCATCGAAGACGGTTTTCTTTTTCCCGCTTGGGACTGATCTAGCCTGGTGAAAGGGTGATGGCGTGTGGTGCGTTTCCCGCGTGGCATGAGCATTAAGAGCCTGGAAGTCGACAGTACGTCGTGGTTTGCCATTCTTCTTTGCACAAACTACCATTCTGTGGCACCAGGTGACAGGCTCGCCAATGGGAACTGGCTCAAGCACGCCCAACTGCACGTCATGGTCTAACCCAACTTTAACGGCATCCTGCCAGTGGAGTGGGACAGGTACCGGTGTGTGATGCGCAACCGGTTCGGCGTTGGGATCTACCATCAGTGTCATGGGGGGGCTGTCCATAAGAGGCAAAGTCTGATGCTCACATGTGTTGAATGTGCTCGACTTGTAGTAGTCAAGGAGATACTGTTGTAGCTTCATACGGTTAGCGTCGATTGCAGGAAACGGCAGTTTCGTTGGGGGTGGTGGGGGTCGCTGACGCCGAGGGCAATGGCAATCTGAGGTGTGGTCTTCCTGTAGGGCTGCTGTCGTGTCCAGCTTGCATGCTTTCTGAGTTATGCCCATCGAGGGGAAGCCATCCGGAATGATTCCAAGGGCGATGCAGGCCTCTTTGCTGAGGAAGAGCTTGTCAGAACTGTCCGTGACGTAAGTCATTTGCCTGGTTTCAATGACCCGGCCCCGTCCATCTTTGCCTGACAAGCGGAGTACAGTGGCCCCAAGGATCTTGATGCCTCCATTGGTGGCGGTGTGCATCCTCATGGTCACTGGGAGGAGGTCAGATTTACGTAGACCGAGGCGGTGAATGACCTTCATACCGGCGAGGCAACTCTGGCACCCTGTGTCTGCCATGGCGGGGACAGAGCAAGTCATGGTGGGAGTGGGAAGGTCAAAACCGAGGGCTGCGTAGTCTTCCGGTACAATGTTGATGGTTACATCGATGAAAGGTTGTGGCGTTGATCTTTTCCTGAGCCACGTGTTGGAGAGGTTGTCATATATGTGATGATCTAGGGGAATGTTCAGTCCTTGGTGTGGTTTTTCCAAGTTATTGACAGTAACTAACTCGTCAAATGCACACCCATTGGGGTGTTGTACTGGATCAGAGATGGTACATAAGGCATCAAAGACAGCACCTTCACGGTCATCAGGAGGGGCGGGTGTCGAATGTTTTGGTTTGGCCTTACTGCGGCACACACTCTCCATGTGGTGGTGTTTATCACAATGCCCACACCTGTGGCCATATGCTGCACATTCGGTTTTACGAGCGCGGGCCGGGGCGTTCTTCCCATGTCCTTTCTTGCCACAGTAGGAGCATGGGTCATGTTTCTCCTTGAGGTTCACTTGCTTGGCTTTTTTGTACGTGCTGCTGGTCGCATCCACTGAGTGTGAGTCTAGTAGTGATGATGCAGACCGTTTGCCTGCCTCTTTAGCTTCAATGAATTGGAAGACTTCCTCCAGGGTCATGTCTTGGTTCTTATCGCCAAGGAGATCAAGCTGGATTTCAGGGTCTGCGATGCCTCGGGTGAGTACATCCCGTAGGATTGCTTCTGTGTAGTTAACGTCAATGTCACAGCCAGGGCATTTTATTAGGAACTTGCAAATTCCTGCTTGACCACGTAGGCGAGCTCCGAAGCTGCGCACTGTTTCATCACGATCCTGACGCATATTGTGAAGTGTCACTCTGGCAACCATAGTGTTCTCTTCACGCACAGCAAGTTTTTTTATGGCAGCCAGTACCTCAGTTTCAGATTTGTTGGTGAGGCTACCACCCGCGGATCTTGTGAGGTCCTTGCGCAAGGGTTCATCACAGCATTCAAGTAGTTGTACTACTTTGTCCTTGCCGGCTATCTTGGTGGCATCGACGTAATCTGACCACCGTGACTTGAAATAAGCCCACTCTTCACTGGAGCCAGCAGCGGCAATCGTTGGCCTTTTGACCTTCTCAACCTTGGCAGCATGTCCAGAGGTGTGTACAGCGCTGTGGGCAGTGAGGAGTGCAGCTACGATAGCGGCATCGAAATCCTGAGTGGCGTAGTCACAGCCGGGGAT